ATCTGCAACAGAATGGAAGCTGCAAATGGATGCTGCCCCTGAGGCAGAAAAACCGCAGTACCAGTTCTTTTATGAAAAAGCGTTGAAGAGGGAGGAGGAAGAGAAGGAGAAGGAGAAGGGAGACAAAGTAAAGGCTCATGATGCCATCTTCAGTACCGTGCCCGCCTTGACTGATGATGAGGTGGAGAAGAAGACAGTTCCACTTCTCAGGGCCTTAATAGACCTCCGGGCTGTTGAAGACCATACTGGCCAACTCGCAAAGGTGTTTGATGAACTCAAGAAGTTATGCGGAGATATGACCCTGATGGCGCAGCAGCACCACGGCCAGCTGCGACAGTTCGAGCTGCTACATTTTGCCAAAATGTAGTCGGCCCAAAGTGTCCTTTCGTCTGCTTACCCTGCTTCTAATGCTGCGTGTCAATTTGTTATTGCCCCTATCATCATCATCATCATCTTCTTCTTCTTCTTCTTCTTCTTTGAGTGTGGTCAACAGCCTATCCGGATCTGCAGCAGGACCAAACCCCGTTGTTGTTGCTGCTGCTGCAGTGGCAAGTGGCCGTGCAGGGCATTTTGGAACTGTTGCAGCCCCGAATTCGGACCCAGCTAGTTGTAGCTTTCCCTACGTGGATAGAAAGGCAGCACATATTCCGTCAAAATACGACGGAAAGGAGACCTTCGCAAAGGACCCTTCTCTTGGTGACGAGCAAGAGCAAGACTATGAGGCATCTTGCTCTTCGTCAGCCCATAACTCCAACTATGTAGATGATGATGAATCAATGAATGCCTTTCAGAAGACTGCCTTCAAAAGTAAGGGACCGAAGAACGCAGTGAAGAACAACACTAACACCATTCTCCTCCCCAAGGAGGCAAGCTACAGATGTGTATCGATTACTGAGGGCTGAATAGATTAACAAGAAAAAATGCCTACCCTTTTCCACACATCGGTGATTTGCTTGATGTTGCAGGTGGATGCAAGGTCTTTAGCAAGATCGATCTCAAGCCTGACTACCACCAGATTGAAGTCGACCCCGGAGACCAGCATAAAACTACATTAAAAACTCGCGATGGGTTGTATGAATTTACCGTNGACCAGCATAAAACTACATTAAAAACTCGCGATGGGTTGTATGAATTTACCGTCATGCCCTTCGGCCTCACGAATGCACCAGCCACCTTCCAAAGACTCATGGACAAGATGTTTCACAATCAGATCAATCGATTCGTTGTTGTTTATTTGGATGACATACTAATCTTCAGCAAATCGATGGAGGAACGCATGAGACACCTCGAGGTAGTGTTGCAGATCCTCAAGGATGTGCAGCTCCATCTCAACTTAGAGAAATCTGAGTTTGGGAGGGACAGCGTCATCTACCTTGGACATCGGTTGTCCGCTGCAGGCCTAGAGCCCGAGGCCACCAAAGTGGAGGTCACCCGCAACTGGCTTCAACCGGCAAATATCTGAGAGTTTCGTTCTTTTCTTGGTCACGCGTCGTACTACCGTAAGTTTGTGCCCAAATTCTCTATCATCGCCCGTCCGCTGTCCAAATTGACAAGCAAGAACGTGTCTTACACGTGGGATGGGGAATGCACAACCGCCTTCCAAGCATTGAAGGAGGTCTTGGTGAGTCATCCGGTGCTCCGTATTGCAGATCCCGAACTTACATTCGTAGTAACTACGAATGCAAGCTTGTATGGGATTGGTGCAGTGCTGCAGCAAGATGATGGTGACGGCTTACGTCCCCTTGAGTACTGTGGCAAACGCATGCCCAGTCCCCTTGAGTACTACAGCAAACGCATGCCCAGTCACAAGGTAGTTGCCTCCACTTACATGCGAGAACTTTATGCCTTGAGAGAGGCACTAAATCATTGGAAACACTAGCTCTTGGGTAGCCATTTCAAAGTGTTCTCAGACCACAAAATTTTGAAGTGGATCCAGACACAGATTAATCCATCAACTACATTGACCCGCGGGCTGCATGAGATTGATGTGTATGATTTTAAACTTAAACACAAGAAAGGTTGTTACAATCGCATTGCGGATGCTTTGTCTCGCCACCCCAAGTACATGACTTGTCTTGTGGGTTCCTACGATCTCCGTAGGAATTTCAAGGAGGAACTAGTTGAGCATACCGCCAAGGACCGGAACTCAGTCCCATCCTTGAGCCTAGCAGTCAGCCTGATTTCCACGAGTGTAAAGGTTCGCTCTTCCGACATTACGGGAAGTACGACCGACTGTGTGTACCCAACCATGAGCCTATCCGTACTCACTTCTTGGACTTGGCTCATGGCCGGAGTGGACACTTCGATTTTGAAAAGACATACGGAAATCTATTGCAAAAGTTTGTATGGCCTGGGATGACGTTTGTCAACGCATCAAATCATCTCGGTAAAAGCCTTATGGGCTGCTGCATCCTCTTCCTATTCCTGATGGCACAAAATTTCTGAATTTGATCCCATTGCCACCTCACGCCCTGATCGAGGAGTTTCACAATAAGTACATTATGTAGTGTGGGCCCCCGAAGACTCTTGTGAGTGACCGGGACACGAGGTTCATAAGTGCAGATTGGAAGGACTTCACCTCCCAAATCTATGACATCAAACTCAAGATGACGTCTGGTCGACATCCCGAAGCCAATGGACTGGCAAGGAGATCAACCAGACTGTGATCCAACTTCTCCGAGCTCTAATTATAACCGATCAGAACTCTTGGAATGAGGAATTGCCGATTGTGCAAGGATTGTACAACAGCTCCATACACTCTTCCACCGGGATGACACCTAATCGGTTGCACCTCGAGTGGCAAATTCGCAATCCCCTATCCTATATGTTTCTTGACCAGCCACCTGGCCTAACACCTGGCCAGCCAGGCTACAGCGCTAAGTTTAATCGCTTGCTCAAAGTTGTTGTTGCAGCTATGGAAAGGCGATGCAGTGCCATGATTAAGCATGCTAACAAAAAGCACCAGCCTGAACCTTTCACAGTGGGAAGCTATGTTTGGGTCAAAATGTCTTGAGTTTTCTGAAGACGAAGGTGTATCACGAAAGCTTCTTCCTCAGTATTACGGTCCGTGGAAGGTGCTGAACCAAGTAGGGGATGATTCATTTGGCCCTTCTTACACGATCGACGTGCCTACTCATCTGCACACGTACCCAGTCTTTCACGCGTCGAAGTTGTTTCCGTATGTACCACCCGAAACTTCTTTGTATCGAGAATCGATGATTCCTCGCGCAATCAATGGCGGTCACGAGATTGATAGAATCGTTGAACACAGTGGAAAAGGGAAAACCAGACAATACAAAGTTCATTTTCTATATCACTCATTGAATGATTTTTGCTGGATTGCTAAGAAAGACTTGTTGCAGAGTGCCCCGCAAGTCGTCAACGCATATGAACGACTGATTAGCTCCGAACAGCAACCTAAACCCACCGCTAAACATACCCGATCTTTCTTTGCCATTTACGCTTATGATGCATTATGCAGGGACAGGTACTCGAGGCCGAGCAGAAGAAGACAAAGTTGGCATTTTTCAGAGGCCCAGTAGCGGTAGGCTAGGTCTAGGCGGGTACCAGTCCATCCAGTCTGAGTCTAGGGCCTGTACGGGCAATATCAGAGTCTGCAATGATGTTCCCTCCAAAAGGGAGGAGGTACCGGTTGCTTGAGAGGCCGAGCAGCCTGGAAGTCACCGCCAGGAGGCAAGTAGGACGCTATATCTGGAGGCTGAGCGAAGAGCCCAGCCTCATTCTTCAGCGCGTGCAAGTTTGGCGACACGCATTCATTTCTTTTTGCAATTGGAAGGCATTGTACTTTCTGATGAATGTATACTTCGAAATTGGCCAGGATCGTAACAATGTACATTTTTCATAATCCATAAAGGGACGGAGGGCAAAAGGCACTTACCAAAGACAAAAGACTCCTCCAGAAGGAAGGCACCAACCATACCCTACAAAGGTACGAGAAAACTTGGGCATAATAGAAGTGTTTAAATTGAACCCGTAACCTCCTGACTGGCACTTACGTGCTCAACCAACTGAGCTAGCCCACTTGGCCATAATAGAAGTGTTTAAATCCCTTTCTTAACTGCGTTCATTTTGGCTTTTTCTGGCAATATAATAGAAGATGCAGGGTTGGCCGCGTGTGTGTGTGTGTGTGTGTGTGTGTGTGTGTGTGTATGTGTGTGTGTGTGCACTCTTTGACGACATTTCTGTGCCTGGGCAAATGTTCCACCATTCACTTCGCTGCATTCTTGTCCTCTCACCTCTCCCCAATTTTCCTTCTCCCCTCTTGATAAATACATACGCTGGCTGCGGAATTGACATCTTGATTAGAAACCATGTGAAATTTTCAATCTAGCAAACACGCCCATAAAGATGCGCTCCATATAGATGAGACCAAAGAATGAATGAGTAAAGAACTCATCCCTCCGTCCTCCACACCGGCCTTTTTACTCTCACCCCTCTTCCTCTTTCCTTCTCCACTCCCGTAAGCACATCTACTGCCTGGAGCATCCGGTATTCCGAACAGGGATAGCATACGGTGCCCAATATAGCAAACCACCCGAATACATGCTCCATACAGATCAAACAAAGGAATAAATGCGCACACTACGATCTTCACCCGAATACAATGCCCAAATCATCTGGACTGAAAGTTGTCCCAAATACATCTATAATGACTGGACGACGTGGGCGTTCTGTCGGTGACAACAGTAGTTCGCTGGTGCTATTTCCATGATCAGTTTTTCATAGAACCGGCCAGGTTCATACTAACTTTTACCCCGTGACTCTGTTTTACCAAACCGGGCATTCCACAATGTCGTTGTGTGCCAGAAATGGAGAGCGCAGAAGAACCAACCATAAAGGCGAGAGGGCACCACACTCTACTCCCCACTACCTTTCAGAAAACCAGTACACCATCAAAGCAATCACTCACACATTGACGCAAAATAAAACAAAATTACCATTTTTTTTCTCTGTAAAGTTGTAAACGCGATAAACAATACCTTGGCCTTCACCAGACGGGTTGCGTCGTCTGCCCGGAGGATGGAAACGAGGACGTCAATGGCTCCGCTTCGTACAAATGACCTCTTCACACTCAGGCTGCAACATTTGCAATGAGACAAGTGCAATTAATTGGAGTGCTGCTCTTAATGATGTTTTGAATTTGTTTTCTCAATTTTTTTCACTAGCAAGAAGAAAGAAAAAGCAGCAATGCGCAAACCCTAAATGCATTTATCCAAAAATAGATCTAGTTGCCCGACAAGTGGGCACCATGGCAATGTCATCTCAGCAATTCTAATCAGCATAATGAAACAAACAATGCCCCCCCCCCCCCCCCCCCCCCCCCCTCCACACACACACACACACACAGAGGGCCACTTCTTTCGAGGGGTACTGCAAACTTCAGGTGAGCTGGTGTGGTTAAACACATTGGTACCTAAATTCAAATTCCACTGAAATAGATGAGAAAGAATAAGTAAGAATTTGCATGGGGCCAGTCAGCTTGAAGCTGATATCTCAAGCCCGTCGCTCTTTCTTTCAAAGCAAAAAAAGAAAAAAAGGAAGAAAAAAAAAAAGCGTTAATGATATGCAGCCACTACTGACCTCACTCACCTAAGTGCCATCTTTTCAATCGCGTAAGCCGCAGCCTCAATCGCACATTCGTTGCCAGCTGTCAGAAGCTGAATCAGGCGTGGAATGGCCCCAGCCGCAGTTAGCAGTTTCCGATTCTCCTGCAGAATTGCCAGCTCCGCAACAGCCTCAGCTGCAACTGATGCCTGACTTGGGTCTGACAGTCCAAGCAGCAACACTACACGAGGGATGCCATCCGTCTTCGACATGATCATCCTCCGCCTACACCCCTGACCACCATTTTCTACGTCATTCTTCCTTGGCACATTGCCTGTCTCCCTGCCCTCTTCGAGACCGATCCTCGCAAGAAATTCTCTTTGAATCTGTTCTTCGTCATAACCAGTCGGAGGATCCCTGCTCTCTGCTGGAACCGCTTCGCCTCCCTGGTGTTGATCCGGGGTACCAGGACTGCTGCTGCTGCTGCTGCTGCTGCTGCCGCCACCTGCAGAAGCGAAAACTCCAAGGCCGAACAGATCTCTGCGCAGTGCCGCCTCTTTCGTACTCCTTTCTTCGTCTACTGATGCAGTCGGCGGCAAATCTGACGAGGGTCTGCTCCCCGACAGAGGATCACTTGGCGCAGTGTCACAAGCCGCACCTTCAACTTCACTCCTTGGTTTTGTTGCTGTTGCTGTCGCTATCGCTTTCACGCCACCCGGGTTAAATAAACCAGCTTCGGTGACGGGCACAGGCACCAAACCCTCAGCAATTATGTCAAGCCTCATCTCATCATCCTGGGCAAGAGATGTGAGAGCGCGGCGACAATGGCGACGCAGCGACGCCATCGAATCTTCCACCGCCAACTGCTTCTTGGCATCAGTGATGATCACAGAAGCCTGAGGAGCCATCAAATCAAAAGCATATGACTGATGTCAGTAAAGAACGCATTGCAAAGAGGCATCACAACTCTCCCTCCAACAAAACAATAGCCAAAAACGGTGTCTTTCAACGAAGAAAAAAAAAAAAAAAAAAAAAAAAAAAAAAAAAAAAAAAAAAAAAAAAAAAAAAAAAAAAAAAAAAAACAAAAAAAAAAAAAAAAAAAAACCGGGAAAAAAAAAAAAAAAAAAAAAAAAAAAAAAAAAAAAC